CGCGAGAACCTCAAGGACTACGTGGGTCCTCCGGTCTTCACGTCAGACCGCCTGTACGATGTCACGCCGCCCGGCGTCACCATGGGTTTGGCGTGGACGCAGATGGGCGGCGCCGCCATGTATGTGGAGACGATCCTGCAGTCGGCGCTGCGGCCGAGCAGCCGCCCGTCGCTTGAGATTACGGGCAACATCAAGCCCGTGATGAAGGAGTCGTCTACGATTGCCTACTCCTTTGCCAAGGCCATGATGGTCCAGGAGTTCCCGGACAACCACTTCTTTGACAAGGCCAAGCTGCACGTGCACGTGCCTGAGGGCGCTGTGCAAAAGGACGGCCCTTCGGCTGGTATCACGATGGCCACATCGCTGCTCTCGCTGGCGTTGGACCACCCGATCGACCCGACAGTGGCCATGACGGGCGAGTTGACGCTGACAGGCAAGGTGCTGCGCATTGGCGGTCTGCGTGAGAAGACGATTGCAGCGCGGCGGGCAGGCTGCAAGATGATTGTGTTCCCCGAGGACAACATGTCGGACTGGCTGGAGCTTCCTGAGGTAAGCCATATCCCCTCTCCGTGAATTTTTTAAAGCTTCTATATTTTTTGGTGTTCCCTGCTAACAATTCCAGAATATCAAGGAAGGCATTGAAGGCCGCCCCGTCAGCTGGTACTCGGACGTGTTTGGCATCATCTTCAAGGACGTTGACCGAGAGAAGGCCAACAAGTGCAAGATCTGCGAGTGGAAGAAGCTGCACGGCAATGAAGACTCGAGCAAGAAGGACGAGGAAGACTAAACGACGAGAAATTTTACGAAGGACAAAAAAAAAAAAAAAAAAAAAAAAGAAACAAGAAAAGAAACCAGACGAAAAAGCGGGGTGCGGGGCGGGTCTATGTCTGTCTTGTGTAAGAGTAGGTAAAGCGACAGTGAATTTGGGGGCCAGGGGCAGAAACGGATCTGGGGTCGATGAGGCCTGACGGAGTGTAGAAAGGGGATAGCATGTTGCTGCATTTGTCTGTTTTGCATCTCTCCAACTCTTTACATCTTCCTTGGCATTTTTCATTGGGCGGCATCTCCATTTGTCCACACATCTGTACTTTTGCATATTGTGCATCCAGGCCGCATGTGGGCGGCCACTCTCTTCAACTTAAATTTGCCCAGCAGAATGGTAGCTGGCTGGGAGCAACTTCAAATGCTCTAGCACGAGGCATTTTTGTGGGATTGTATTTTGGATTTTTTTTTTTTTCTATGTTAATTCTTTTTCGGTTTATTTTCTGCCGTACAGCCTCGTCGAAACTTGACGGACGACTCTCCCCTTACATACCAATAGAAACAAAAACAACTCCTGTACAAGACTTTATTTATCTAGTACCATTAAAATGCACTTCTTCGTCTCAGATTCGTTTCTTTCTTTCTCGTGATCCGCCATGATGCATTGTCTCTAGAAGTCCTTCAGAAGACCGGCCATGGATGCTAGCATCTTTTAGACAAGTAGCGCAGGGCTTGCACAGCAGGCGGACCATACAACTTGCAACTACTTTTATTATGCTCAATACTTATAAAGTACTAGTCCGAGGTCTTGATCGTGTGTTTTTGGCCATTAAACAATTGTACAGAATATAATTTTTCATAAAATGGGTTCAAGAAAAAAATGCCCAACCGTAATCGCGCATAACAAATGGAGTCAACTGCAGCCAGACGTCCATATCTAAAAACCTGATCTTAAATAGTCATGAGGAAGTTACGCCTTGGCACACTTCTTTGTCGCTTCGCCAGTGTCCTCGCATCATTGTTTTGCTGTGTTGTTCATTCTTGACGCGGGGTGTCGTTGGTTCCTAAAAGCACCGCTGTCAGCGGGAGCGTCCGCCAATAACAGCGGATCATAATGGTTCGCTCCCGGGTACGGGGCGGTACTTAACGTGCAGCAGGATGCCCCCAATTTTGACTCTATTGTCCCTCCAGTTGCATGTACCCCGGTGTCCCAGGTTGCTGGTGCAGCATTTACGCCCGCTCGTTGCCGTCGACTGGCTGGCACTAGCGGCCGCGGCGTCGTTGGCGCTAGGCTGTTTGGCTGTCTCCTAAGAGGTGTTGTTCAGGGCCCCAACGCCAACGAAATATGCAGGGCTCGCCATTGCCGTACGATACATCGTAAGGCCGCAACGGCGCTCGTTCTGTCCCCTCTCTGGCGGCCATCACCCCAGTGGTGCTTTTACACGTGTGCGGGCTCCACCCCACCTTTTAACCACCACGAAATGGTTCATTCCTCCCCAACCCCCTGTCTCCTGCTTCTTGCTAGTTGTGGCTCCGTTGTGCCTTGTCCCTTGGTCTCATTTTTCATGACCTCTCCCCAGCCTCTTTCGTCTTTCCAGCAAAAAACTCGTGCGTAAAAAATATTTGGGGCGGGCCGAGCGAGTATGTTGTCTCTGTGCTCCGTACGACGTACTTTTTGTCATACACCATATGCCGTATGACTGCTTGCGCCCTCGGACTGTGTTTTGCGAGCAGAAGGCGAGCGAGACAATGTGCAATGGAGCCAAGCGCCTACATGGATCCCGGCCAGCCATGTCCCGGGTGTGGTCACGACATGCGTCGTCCCGGGCAAGATACAGTACCCTGTACCCGTATGTTGTACACTTGCGGTTATCTTACATTGAGAAATGGAACCCGGCAAGCGCAGGAATTGGTGTTGCATCGCACTTGCTGTTCTCGCTTCGCCGACCGACTTGTTGATTGTTCCTTCTGGCCAGCCTCTTGCCAACCTCTTTCCGTTAGCTCCTGCCTCCTGTAGCAACTGGACTAGGAAGGATGGGGTCAGTACGAGCGAAACAGGAAAAGAAGGGAAAGTGCAGAGGGAAAGGGGGAAAGAACATCCCACCTAACAAATTCTCAATGGGCCATTTGAAATGGGTTCGCAAATGCCCCGTACCTTCCCTTTTACGGTCTCATTTTAATGCTGCCATTGTCGTGACTCCTTTTCTGTTTCTAGCTTCCTCTTCTCTCGAATCCTTTCCACTTTCACATTCTCATTGCCAGCACCTCTTCCTCGCACCCGTGATATCTCCCTCCTCAACTGCTGCGTGTCTCGAGCTTTGATGGGTTCCTGTAACTCCCGTCCGCCAATCCGCCGCTCGCATCTCACCTTTTCTCCGCTTACTATCCGACCTTTTAATCATTATCTCCATTTTCGATTTTTTGGGTTCACACCCATCCACCTCTCGCGCGGTACATTGGCACATTGGCTAACGCCCCACGGTTCGCATCCGCCCTGCATTTTCTGGGCTTTTGAGCGTATCGATCTGCCCCCAATATTACGTTTTGGGATTTATATCTGCTCTCGTGCTCTTTTGATCGATTTGACCACACCCGTTTCTGTGCATGTCACTTATTTTTCGGCCCCATTGCCCCTTGCCCTTCTCCCCTTCTCCCCAATCACTCTTGTTTTTGGTTGCCTTAAAGGCTTGAATGCATTTCTGCCCAAAGTGTGATTCAAGATCTCTGGTACGAATTACCTGTACGGAGTACTCCGTACACGCACCACCTGCAGTGCACCCGCAGCCCCATCTTTTGCACGGCCGAAGCGAGACATATACGACGGTAAAGCGCGTTTGAGCACTTCCAGTCCCTCCCACGACTATCACATCGACTGGTCGTGTTGGTCCTGTTCGCCAGGCATCCGCAGCTTAGCGGCCCCAGCCAAGGCGGTCTTCGCATCAAACAACCAGGCAAGGCGAGACCCGTGGCCGTTTGGCCGGCCTTTTGCAATCCGTCATCGAGCACCAGTCGATTTTGCAAAGTACGAGCGGGCGGTGCACGCCCTACCTTGCCGGCCGACCAGCCTGATTGTCGTTCTCGCAGAATGACACCGTTGCCTTGCTCTCGGATGAAAGGCACGAGACAAGTTTGAAGCACACGATCGAGACAAAGTGTGAGAGGGAGCCAAAAGAAAGATATAGTTGGCGCAAACAGCTCCAGTCTTTTCGCGCCCGGTTTGCGAAAACCAGGCCCAAGCTCCTGTGCGCTGCTGCACGAACACATACCCCTGTCGATTTTCCACTTTGTCAACCCCGTTTTCTGCGCGCCAGCCGAATTGAACAAAAGCAAAAGCAAAAGCTGTGAAGACGGAGGCCGTCTTGTTTTTCACCGACAAGGTAAAAGGCGCGACCTGCCAGTGCCGTTTTGCAACGACCAACAGACATCTTTATATTCTGATTCTGTCTCAGAGACATACCTAAACACCTCTCTTCTCACCTTGGGGCCTGTCAACATCCATACAGAGCGGTAAAGTAAAAGCACGCTGCACGCTTCACGCGAGGAAACGTCCACCGCACCTTGCCGATTTTGCGACCTACGACGACCCCATATATCTGCACATAATACACCCCCTTTTCACCGCCGCCATTTTCGCACACTTCAAAACTTGTCGGTCACCGCATCTTGCTGCTGCCCCTTAATCCCCTTTTGTGACCTTCTTTATAGGTTGCTTTTCGTGCAGTGATTTTCTGGCTTATCACCAACCACCAGTCGGAAATGCCATTATCGCTGCCGTTTTATGTGGAGTAACACATGTACTGCTTCAACCAGCCCTTCTTCCACCGGCCGCCTCTCTCTTCAATATTTTGTTTATTTTCGTTAAACTTTGCTTTCGTCCGAGCTCACTTCAATTGTTGTCTTTTGAGCTTAAGATTTGGCCTTGCACGCCCCTACTCCATATTCAACCCTCCCACAACTTATCTACTTTCTCATCATCTTTCACTTGCCAGCATCACCGTTTCTCACTTGCTAGACCGACCGCTAGCTGACACGATTGCCAGACTGCCAAACATCCATCCCGCGTCTCACCGCGGGCCCAGACCATAGCAACGCATCCGCCATCCGTGCTGAAGTGTTTACTTTTCGTTACCAGATTTTTACGCTGGCCGCCTTCCAGACGCCGCTCCGTGCATAGCTTCACGGTTGCTGAGGCGGCAGCAGAAGTGCCATTTGCCTCTGTGCTTGGCAGCGGCGACCTCATGGCCCAACCGACTTCGCTGCCGAGCGAGCCTCAGGCTGGGAGTCTACGAACTGCCCCATTGGCTTCATCAGTGCCCCCGGCGTCTCCCACAAAAAGCATATGGAAGAGACTGTTGAATCGCAGTGCGAGTGCTCACCCGAGAGAGCCGGTACAATGCCCATCTGCTGAGCTGCCACAGTCCGCTTCTCCGGCGGTATTACCATTTGCACAAGAGCCCACAGCTCAGAAACTAGAGACGAGTGGACCATTAGATCCGGCGCGAGACGGGCTGGGTGTCGGCCACGATGATCAGCTACCTAGCAGCTCCAACGCCGAAGCACCTGCCGCAGATGCGGACGGTGGCATTGCTACCAAGACATCTAGCAATAGTCGGCGAGCTCCGCACCGCGATGTTGTTCCTGGCTTGCCTCGTGCGCAGACTTTTGCTCGACAGCAATCTGAACTGCGCGGAAATCTGATGCCGATTATCCCTACCTCTGCTGAGCGGCGGGGTGTGTCAGCAGACCGGCGGTTGACGCGGAGCGTATCATCGCCCACGAGTTCCCAAATTCTATCAGACCCTCGCACCAGCGCACCCAATGTTTCGTACCGTCCAAAACCGGGCATATCCGATGCGGCGAAACCAGCAACGGGCGCACCCCAGGAAGAAGCTGTGCCACCTGTTCCCACAATTCCTTCGTTGACAGCTACTGTGGCTTCTAGTGGGCAGCCACCAATAAGTGAAGCTGAAACAGATGACACTACAGCTGTCACAAGCGGAGACGGTCTGATCCATGGCGACGCCGCTCCTGCCCCCCAGCCTGCCGCATCAGGAGGCGACAATGACTGTGGGCCATCGGACGCACACTCTGTGGCCGGAAACATCGCCAAGGAGAATGAAGAGACCTTTCATATTGACACGGCATCTATGACCTCGTCACAGTACGAGCACCGCATTCGCTATGAGCTGGAGCATGTGTGGATTCTCAACTTGTCGATGCACTTCCGCGACAAGTCCAGACGCGAGAAATTCTTTGTTACATATCGACAGCGGCCCGACCTAACGCGCCGGGTGACTATCTCCCTCGACTACCGCAACGCTCCAGACGGCTCACTCGAGATGGATCTCCTTGACACCAAGCTTCAACGAGACAAGAACGAAATGATCTATGAAGCCATCCGCGAGAGCCTGGTCGACATTCAGTTTTACAACACCGTGACAAATCTTAAGTTGCAGACGACTGATGGCCGGCTGCATGTGCACGTGGTTGAGGATACTACTGTTCGTCCGAGCTCCCATCTTCTCCCATCTTACTTTATACGAAACCTCTTACTGACGCACCGTGCTAGGAGATTATTGACTACCCTTCGGCCCAATTTGTGCACCACTTGGGCTGCCGCAAGATTCGGGAGTCTGACGTTGAATTTGACTCTCACATGTCCGGCTTCGTATACAGGGTCCGTGTCGAGGGCCGGGTCCTTATCAAGAAAGAGATCCCGGGGCCAGATTCCGTTGACGAGTTTTTGTATGAGGTCAACGCCCTCAATTTTCTTCGCGGGTCCCAAAATGTCATCGAGCTGTACGGTGTCATTATTGGCGACGACGACCGCGTCCGCGGCCTTCTCATCAGCTACGCCGAGCAAGGTGCTCTGATTGACATCCTGTATGAAAACAACCACGGAATTCCTTGGTACACGCGCATGAAATGGGCCCGTCAGATCGTTCATGGACTGTCTGAGATTCACGAAGCGGGATTTGTTCAGGGCGACTTCACTCTTTCGAACATTGTCATTGATTATGATGGTAACGCCAAGATCATTGACATTAATCGACGTGGGTGCCCTGTCGGATGGGAGCCACCTGAGGCCACCCCTCTGATCCAAAGCGACCAGCGCATTTCGATGTACATTGGCGTCAAGTCGGATCTCTATCAGCTGGGCATGGTGCTCTGGGCACTCGCAACACAGGAAGACGACCCAGAAGCCCATGGGCGACCTCTGCTCTTGGGCGACGATGTCGGCGTGCCACAATGGTACCGAAGCATTGTGGACACCTGTCTTGCCGAGGATCCTCGGGAACGCTCGCAAGCTCTTCAACTTCTCAGATATTTCCCGCGGCCCAGCACACACTTTGACGACAGTGATTACGAGGACGACTGGGTCCATGGGACGCATCACCACCATCCGGCGTTTTATGCCCACAGTGCTCCGTCGGGATCGGTTGACGACGGATCCAACTCGTTCCGCAACAGGGCGGCTGAGCTCGGCAGTGTACCCTCCGGCGACGACCATGCCGACGACATCGCTGGGCAGTTTATAGAAAGAGAGCGGCCCGATTTCGTCGTTGACAAATTCACGAGTTTGACACCGGTCATCCGCGATGTGACACCAAGCAACGACTGGGCGTACGTAAACAATTTCGGCCACACGTATGTCTCCCCCTCAAATGGTGTTTCCAACGAATCATACTACTACCCTACAAGAGGCCGGTCTCCGCCCAGAAAGTCACATTCTGGCTATGGCCGACGAGACGGTTCTTGGATCAGAAAGGAGTCTCTGGAGCAGCAAACGTCGGCCGCAGATGCGCTCCATGTGAAACAGGCCGAGTCCTCGCCAAACCGGAGCAATCTCCCCAGCAGCGAACCTCCAGCTTTATCGGAATTGAAAGACGAAGATGTTCAAGTGGGGGATGAAGCTGACGTACCTGATGACACGGTGGACGCAGACACAAAGGAGAGTTCAGACTTGGAGGTTGTGGAGACTGTTCACAAGGAGGCGGCCGATGACGTGGCCGTTGATATACCGGCCGATGACAACGGCGCAGCACACACTGCATCCCCCGAGACAGACGTGCAACCCCTCGTTATCAAGGCAAGTGCTTCGAATATCAGCGACGCCAAGAGCAAGGACGCGACTGTACCGAGTTCGCCTGAGCGTCCCAGCGAGTGCCATTACAGTCTTGCGAACGGGGCTCTTGCACACGAGGTCGTACCCCTCGATACTGCAAACAGCCTGGAAAGGAGCGGCTCTGACAGCAAAATATCGGATCAGATCAAAGGTGTCGGTGCCGTCTACGAAGACGAAAAGGCATTCCCCCGCCACATGAGCTTGGAGCACGACGAAGAAGATAGGGATGCCGATGATGGCCATGATGCCAACGAACTAGATGCGGTTCCTGCGACCGAATGCCAGGAACGATAATGAATATGAACAAACCAAGGGACACATTACGTTTTATTGGGCTTTCGGAACATGTTAACCCCCCCTCCCTTTATGGGGTCATCGGATTTTTTTCTCCTGTATTTCTCTGTTTTTACAGGAAGCTCGTTTGGGATTTGCTTTTCATTGGAGTTTTCTCCCCGGTTAATAATTTGGGCCTATTTATTTTTGGATAAATCTTTGGACATTAAGTTTTTGGTGGTGTTTTTTCTTCCGGATAAACTAACAATAGCAGCATACAAGAAACCTAAATTTGGACACGGCTTCTTCATGAGGCCGATATTTACGACACAAAGTACCCGATTCTTCGTTCTTACATTGGCCACATGAGCATTTACCAGTTGTGCGTCGCTGCGACACGACTGTAATTTTGAGGATGCTTAGATGATAGTAAGTGTACACCGGCACGCCTCTCCCATTTTGCGAGAGAGTCAGCGTATGTCGTACAGGGCCAAGCACTATGAGGCTCTGTGTTTGTGAAGACTGCTTGTGAACGAATTGGGTGCATGTACAGCCTCGCCGTTACAAGAGGAGTGGTCCCAGAGAAACGGCAGAACGGGAAGCAAAGGGGCCATTCCGTATTTAGACTAGTGTCTTCCGCGTCTTCTTCTCAATTTTCTAGAAGTCAGCCTCTGTATCAGCGTCACATGTCAATACGCAGTATTGTGTGGAGACAACAAAAAGCAAATGAAGGAAGTCGCTGAAAAGCTTGTTGAAGAATAACCTGGAATTAAGAGCAAGGGTTTGAATTGTGCTATCGTAAACATGCATCTCTATTGTTCGATGCGCTCGTCCGCAAGTGATTGCGTGAATCATAGCACCAATCCGGCGTGGAACCGCGGTTTGTTGGGGCGGAGCACCATGATGGCAGGAACGGAGGAGGCGTCTGCTCGGTGTACGGAGCATTTTGAAACGCTGAAATAATGCTTGCTATACACTGCATCATCCGGCGAGCTATTATGCACAGAGACGGAGAGGAAACAGGTACTGTCGGACGTTGTTATGAGCGCAAACAGTGCATCCTGGGACGTCCCAACATCTCTCATCGACACATCCTTTGTGGAAGCATCATCGTCAACAAATCAGCCAAACTCGCGGCGTCTACTATGGTGGGGTGAATCAAGTGGATGGGGAAGTGCATCACGCATATATGCCGTATGACGGACGTCCTTTGCGAATGGAAGACCGCAGACCTGGTCAGCCGGCATCGAAAGGAAGCAAAGCACATTCGGAACGTCGGTGGCCGTACGGAGCCACTGTGGCATGTGACGGAGGAGGAACAGAGAAAGACCAGTCAGATGAAGACCACGCCGTAGCACGTTTTCGATGAGAAGCCAAGGGATACGAGCGTATTCCGTTCGTTGTAGACAGAGTGGGAGTGCAATTAAGTCAAAGGGAGCCACATGATGACAGCATCCTAGGTTTCACCGCCAGACATGTGGAGTATGTTGCACAACAGACTGTGTAAGTATGCCATATGTGTACGGCATATGAAGCATGCGATTTGTGGTAGCTAATTGGAACATGGCATAGTGGGTATGGTATTACGCATGTTGCCCTTCCCTGATGAGTGAAGCCAAAGAAACGTTTTGCTTTAGAACACGGTTGTTCCCCTCTTGTAAGTCATGGTTGGCGTGTCAGGTAGCGTCATAGTTGGTACATATGTGTGTTAGTAAACTATATGCATTTGCATGTACCTAAACAGGGGCATTCACGATGGGCACCAGGGGTTGGACAGGCGCCCCTCTGTACACGCTGGGGCCAATCACAAGCTCCCACCGGCCTGCTAGTTCCCAACAGATTTCACCACCTGCGCTTGACCCCAACAAAAAAAATTCAATTGTGCTGAACGGGCAGCTGTATCAAGCTCTTTCCAGTGCAGCCTTTTGTTGCCAACGTTGTTCGTTGGATTTGTCCCTAGGCACAGCAGCGCTGTCCTGCAAAAGATTGGCACCGAGAAACAAATTCATATTTCACATGTGAACGATGGCTATCCTGGAGTGAACGAGGGTGGAAGGAAACGAGAACGACGGCATTGCTCCAATCGTATCGTGGGGCAGGGGCGACTTGATGCGACCAAGCACTGAAAAGCAAAACACACATACCAACAAACAACAAGACACTGGATCGCTCCTGCCTGTACATTAAGCACGCCTCACAGGCGGAAGGTGCAGAGGCATGACAGTTAAATGACCAGGTCTTAGCAGTTGCCATTGCATTCTTGCATATGCGTCAGAAAGCATCTGACAGCGTGCTTGTCACACCCAAACAGAGCTCGTGCTATGCGCCTTCCTATCGTAAGATCGTGGAGGTCCTTCCCAAATGCCCAATCAACAAAACAAACAAGAGACCAACAAACAACAACACGGAAACAGGAAACGAATGGACCTTCCGTTCCTCCGTTCATTGCCACTCGCAGCTTCCAAAGACGACAGGAACATACTGTAGTTACAACATACTTTGTGAGCTAACAGGGAGAGGAGAGACGTAACAATACGGGACTGCAGACAGATCCACAGGGGAGGCGTGTGAATAACTGGCCCAAACAGGAAATCCCAACATCCCGCCACCGCGCCCCAAGAATAGCCAGGAAATATCCAGCAACTCCCCGAGCTCCAAATGCTGTCCAAAGAGGCCGACGTCCAGCAAAACACACCGGAAACGCCTGCCCATATGCAAGCCTACCATACCTCTGTCAGGGCTCTACCCCATTGTTGTGCAGTCGACTCAACCGAGTAACCTGCCCCTTCCGCCTTCTCGCACCCCAAAGCTTTTGTGTCTTGCGTCGCTCGCACCTTCCCACCGCTCAACCGCCCGCCCCTGTGGTACCTGCCAGCCAAGCTACTTCCCCATCCATATTGCCTTCTCCGTTTCCTTCCTTCCCACCGATATAAGTGCTTCCAGCCATCCTTCCCGTTTTCTTTTCCTTCATATCTCTCCGCTTCCCTCTTCAGCCCACCTGTTATTCGTTTTTTGTATTTTTTTCTTCTTCATTCTTCTGTCCCCTTCTTTTGCTTGCATGCTCCTTTACATGCTCGCTCACGGCTCCTAAACAAAACAAGAGGAAGCAGTCGACCGGCCTACTCTTTTTTCTGTCTACCGATATCCCAACACTTCCTGTTTTCGGCCGCCTGGCTGGGGCTGTTTCTGGAAGCAACTGTTGCTTTGACGATACAGTCAAACACAACCATCAGCATCTCTTTCTATCCGCACAACCTGTCGGGCCGCTTTCTCTCTCCATCTCTCACACGTATCCATCACCATGTCTGCCAAGATCGAGGTGGCCGATGCCACGGTTGATGGCACCACCGACTTTCAGCCTCTTCGGAGCAAGCAGTACGACATCCGGAAAACGCACATCTCCGAGACGCCCATTACCCTCAAGAACTGGTACAAGCACATTGACTGGCTGAACACCACGTTTATTCTTCTCATTCACGTCGCCGCCATGATTGCTGCATACTGGGTTCCCCTGCGGCGCAACACCCTCATTTTCGCTATAGTGTATTATTTCAACACTGGCTTGGGTATTACTGCAGGTAAGCATAAAACCTGACAACACCATATATGTCTATTCTATCCATATATGCACACGGAGATACAAAGGATGACAGGCAGCTGACATTTCTCAGGATACCACCGCCTCTGGGCTCACTCTTCCTACAAGGCCACTCTCCCCCTCAAGATCTACCTGGCTGCCGTCGGTGCCGGCTCCGTCGAGGGCTCCATCCGCTGGTGGTCCCGTGGCCATCGCGCCCACCACCGTTACACCGACACTGACAAGGACCCCTACTCGGTCCGCAAGGGTCTCCTGTACTCGCATCTCGGCTGGATGGTCATGAAGCAGAACCCCAAGCGCATCGGCCGCACCGACATCACCGACCTGAACGAGGACCCCGTCGTCGTCTGGCAGCACAAGAACTACATCAAGACGGTTCTTTTCATGGCCATTGGCCTCCCTGTGTTGGTTTGCGGCCTCGGCTGGGGTGACTGGGTTGGTGGCTTCATCTACGGCGGTCTTCTCCGTGCCTTTTTTGTCCAGCAGGCTACCTTCTGCGTCAACTCGCTTGCCCACTGGCTCGGCGACCAGCCGTTCGACGACCGCAACTCGCCGCGTGACCACGTCGTCACGGCTCTTGTCACGCTCGGCGAGGGCTACCACAACTTCCACCACGAGTTCCCCTCGGACTACCGCAACGCCATTCAGTGGTGGCAGTACGACCCGACGAAGTGGACCATCTGGGTGTGGAAGCAGTTGGGTCTCGCCTACGACCTGAAGCAGTTCCGCCAGAACGAGATCGAGAAGGGCCGCCTGCAGCAGGTCCAGAAGAAGCTCGACCAGAAGCGTGCTACCCTGGACTGGGGTACGCCGCTGGAGCAGCTGCCTGTTGTTGACTGGGACGACTTTGTTGCTCAGACCAAGGACGGCAAGGCCCTCATCGCCGTTGCTGGTGTCATCCACGATGTCACCGACTTTATCAAGGACCACCCCGGTGGCAAGGCACTGATCTCGTCCGCTATCGGCAAGGATGCCACGGCAATTTTCAATGGCGGTGTATATAACCATTCCAACGCCGCCCACAACTTGCTGTCCACCATGCGTGTTGGCGTCCTCCGCGGCGGCTGCGAGGTTGAGATCTGGAAGCGCGCTCACTACGAGAGCAAGGACATCTCTTACGTCACGGATTCGGCTGGTCGCCGCATTGTCCGTGCCGGTGAGCAGGTCACCCGTGCTGCCCAGCCGGTTGCTACCGCTCATGCTGCATAGACGCACTACTTGATTATCGTCTATGACCTGGCTTCGTTCTTTTGTCTCGATCCAAGCTTCCAATGCCGGTCCGCTGGCTAGTCGGCATCAATTCGTGATTGCATGGCCAGAACGGAGAGAGGGGAGGCGGTCTGTTTTGTGCAGTCACGAACACACGTTGATACGAGAATACTCAAACTACGAAACGGCCCCTCTTAACTTCATGTATGCATTTCAAAGGCGTTTCCTTCTTTACACTGATAAATTATGAGTTTTGGGAGGCAGGGGTTTTCTTTTTCACGATGAGACGCTACTTTACTTTTGTTCGCGTAATGGAACGAGAAGACAAAAAAAAATCGCTTTCATTTATCCTTTAAGGTAGATTCAAATTGTATCACCTATCTCATTCATTGTGGAAGTCAACGCTCGTGGCAAAATTGACCTCCTAGAAACAATTTGCCTTTCCTCGCCTTAGAGGTCCAATAGTAATATACATGTACGATGCACAGCATGAAGGACGAAGCCGCTGCCATAAATTTTATGGGATTACTATCCTAGTTCAGGTGCCTGCAATATAAAAATCATCGCGATGGTATCGGCAATGTGTGTCAAAGCCTGATGTAGAATAAAAATGAGTAGTAAAGGAAAACCACAAATAGAAAATTGCAATGGCAATACGTCGTAGTACGCACATTTGCCGTGATATATAAACGTTGAAAACCAAAGTGGCTCCCCAACTCCACGATGCCAGGTGCAACGAAACATCAACTGGCTGCACACCAATAAAAGCAGTTATCCTCCAAACCCAGAAAATACCAAAACCCATTCATGAGAGCACCGTGTTTGCCACATCCATTTCGCCTCGCGTCTTCCACCCATGGCGTCCACCCGATGCACAGTCTCCTCCTCTTTACTTGAAGAGACTTCGAAGATCTTCGAGACGCTGCCGTGCAGCATCTGTCGAGCTGGCCGCACGGTGGTCCGATCGGTTCATTGACAAGTTGGAGATTTTGATCTTGCGGTTCTGGATCTCCAGCATGCGCTCCTCAAAACTGTCCTTCATAATGTACCGCACCGTCCGCACTTCGCGCGTCTGGCCCAGCCGGTGCACCCGGTCAATCGCCTGCGCCTCGGCGGCGGGGTTGTACTGCGGCTCCATGACATAGACCGTGTTGGCCGTTGTCAGGTTGAGGCCCAAACCACCCGCCATGATGGAGACCAGGATGACCTGCACGTCTGGGTTGTCGCGGAAGGTGTCCATGGCCTGCGTGCGCGCCGTGCGCGACATCTTGCCGTCGAGGCGGCAATACGAGATGTTGTTACTGTCGAAAGCCAGCTGGATTAGGTCGAGATGCGACGTCCAGCCAGAAAAGACAACCGATTTGTACGGCGGCTGGTCCGGGTTTGCTTCGCTGAGGCGCTTCTGCTCCAGCAGCTCCGCGACGAGGGCGCGTGTCTTTGTGTGCGGGCCCGAGTAGTTGCTTTCGCTAATCGTCTTGCCCGTATGGCCGGACGGTGGCGAAGGTGCATCGCCAGCTGCTCCCGACGCTCCACTACTGTTGCGGAGCAGCGCCTGGCTACCATTGCTGTTGCCGTTGCCGTTGTAAGTACCATCCGTGACCGGCTTTTTGTCGTGCACAAAGCTAGCACGCCGGTGAGGTAGAGTGTCGTGCTCCACGTCCGCGCGGTCGTGGCGAATTTCGACACACGAAAACATGACCGAGGCGTTGCACGTTGGGCAGATGCCCGGCCGGTTGCTCTTGTGGGTGAGCCCGCGCTCGTTATCGGCAAAGTGCTTGACGCAATTGGGGCAATAAATATGCATACAGGGTGTCATGTAACCAATGACATCTTCCTGCTTTTCGGAGCGAATGTCGGTCGACGTTGTGTCGTCCGAGTAGCCCAGCTTGTTCTTGCAATGTGCACAGGTGTCATAGTCCGTGTTGACAAGCAAGTCATAGATACCGTAAGCTTGCGCCTCGGGAAGCCGCTGCTTCACCTCGCCGGATGCGTCGTCGTCCTCGTCAATGGTAATAGCAGACTCGAGAGTCATTCCTTGCATCAGCTTCAGGTCGTCCTCGCTCAGCAGCTCACGGCCATGTGCACAGATGAGACGGAGGCGCAAAATAGCCTGCAAGATGTGAATGTACACCTTGCCGCCCAGCAGGCGCTCCTGGTGGCCAGTGAGCACCTGAAGCCGGTCCTTTGCGTTGCGAGAGTAGAAGTTGTAGAGGCGGCTCTCTTCATCGGAGAAAGTCAGGCGGATGATGACGTCGCTGCGTTTAGGGAGGTCGATCTTGTCCTTGAGACGCCGAAGCGTGATTGTGTCCACCAAGATGCGTAGCCGTGTCAGAATGTTCGGGTCACAGGCACGGAACGGGTTCACAATGAAATGGTTGAACTTGGAGCGGTCGTCAAAAGGCTTGAGGCGCAAAAAGGCCAGCAGCGACCCCAAGTCTTCCAGGCGGTTCTGTACCGGCGTACCAGTTACGGCCCAGCGCCGGCTGGCCTGTAGACGGCAAATAGCCTTGAACTGGAGCGTGGATGGCTCACGGATCATATGTGCCTCATCGAGGACAACGCGAAACCAGCCAATCTCCTCGAGAGGATAATGACCCGACTTGCCGCGGCTTCTGGATGTCAGCTCACTTGAGACGGAGCCGTACGTTGTTATGACGAGATCAAACTCAGAGAGCTCGCCAATGTCCTTGATACGGTTCTGGCCGTGGTAGATGTGGTACTTGAGCGAGTCCGGCGCAAGGTGCTGCTTTATCTGCTCTTCCCAGTTCGCAACCGTACTCAGAGGACAGACAAGCAGCGTGCCCTTTCCATTCCGCTTCAGACGCGTGAGGTCAAGGGTCTGCGGAGTCGGCGCATCAAAGTTTTGGGGAGCCCCCGGCTTCTTCTTTCTCTCGGGTGCCTTTGGCTGCATGGGCGACTGCTTGTGCCACTTCTCGGCTTGGGCTCCCGTGCTTGCAACCAGCGACAAAATGCTCAACGTCTTGCCCAGGCCCATCATATCAGCCAAGATGCCGCCAAGCGTCTCGCTGGGCGGCTGGACCTCGTTCTGTCCGGTGATAACGTTGTAGTACAGGGTCTGATTGGCGAGCGATGTCTTCTTCTGCCAGATGGATGAGCTGAGCTTTGAACCGGACTGCGCCGCCATGGGCCGTTCGCGGTGCATCATGAAGTAGAGACCCTGCTTCTGGTGGCGTAGCATCTGTGTCGTCACACTGGGGCTGGGTTCCGTCTCGGGAAGGTCCTCCGCGTTGGCCATGGAGTCGAAGACGTGGAGCACTTCAGAGCGCACCTCTTCCATCGTACGGGCAGTACTGTTCATAGTCGATGCATACTGCTGTGCCGCATGTGATGGCAAGCCAGCGGCATGCATGGGTTTCGCGTCTCCATTGGCTAGCATGTTTGGGTCCTGTTGCGGGATTGCCAAGCGGACATTCGCATCGTAGCGGACCGGCTTCACCAGCTTGAAGCCAAACTTGGCGAGGCGTTTGCCAATTGCTTTTCCAAAGGACGGAGCGCCGTACAACACTAGGTCGATCTTATACGACCGTGACACTGGCTGGCCGACGACTTCGTCCTCGTTCTTACGGCGGACGGGAATTTTTGCGTCCGTCCGGAGGTGGACCTTGGCGATGTCCATGAGGGGCACAAAGCATTCAGCCGCCTTGCGATCAAGGCTTCCGACTACCTGGCGCGTGTGATCGCACACATCAATGACGTGGCTCTTTTCGTTCACCTTGCGGCGCAAGACGATCTTGACAGTTGGCCAGTACGCCGGGCCGCCCATGGCCTGCGTACCGGGTTTGGGAGCCGGTACTTGGTGGCAGTCAAAGGTCACACCCAGCACTGCTCCAAAACACACTTCTTCATATGATTCCTGGGCTTTTGAATCGGTCTCGGAACCTGAGGAGAGAATGCGTTAGGATTCAACGGCTGCCATAAAACGTATTCGAAAGGGGCGCCCGTAATAACATACCGTCTGTTAGATCAACTGTAACAGGTTGCTTCGCAGCAGCCACGGCCATTCCAGCAGGACGAGTCTTGGCCTTTTGCTCTTCTTGCTTGACACCCTGCGCGAGGATACCGTTGCTGCTCGTCTGGAAGACCGGCTTTATATCCGTTGGCTCGCCGGTCAGCGTCTTGCGACGTTTCGGCTGGGGGACGTCCTTACGGTCCTGAACGTGAAAGTTTCGCTCGAGCATGGCTGCCATGCCGTTTGGCGGTGTGTTGGTAGCACCTTCAGAGCTAGCATAGGCGGGAGGCCCGCTCAAATTGGAGCCCGTCAGGCCGTGACCGTTGACTAGGTCTGTGGCGATCTGGTCACCCGACGAAAGGTAGCCGTCATCGGTGGCAGGCCCCGTGAACTGAAAAGCGAGCTCGGCCGGCGCAGCTCCACCGGCCCCAAAACCGTTAACCGCAACGGGGACGTCATTGGTGCTGTTGAAATTGAAGGCTAGAGTAGAACCGTCCATGCCCCCCATTTGTTGAAGTGGGTTGCCAAGCATGGGCGTTGAGGTCGGTGGTGGCGGCAGATGTGAGGCGAAGGAGGGAGTAGACATGAGATGGCGCTGAGGGTCGAGCAGAGTAGCCGGGTTCCATGTAGGTAAGGCGCCGTTACTGAGCAGAGGCACTCCGTTTTGGTCAACCGCCTGCAGGTCTTTATGAGACGAGAGGTTAGCATGGAGTGCTATTCAAAGTGAGAGTCGGAGTAAATGTATAGGGAGGTGTAAGTCTGAGGTAGTATAGGCGTCTTGTACTAGGTGAGGCGTCTACATATGGTCAAGACGACATGACGTCGATAGCAGTGTGCTTTGATGATAAGAGGAGTTCGTATGAGACGGAGGCGAGTGGGGCAAGAGGAGAGACCAGAAGGGGACAAACCATAGTCATTCAGGTGATCAGGAGGCTGATTGGAAGATGCCATGGTGAGCAAAATGGAGGCTGGGTGCCTCTATATTCAGCCGGACGCGCCCGGCGTTTTGCGGACGACTGAAGATCATGCGCCGTGCAAGGCAGACGCGGGCCAAGTGCTGGCCGAGTCGAAGAAAGCGAAAGGCGCCAGGCGAGAAGGAAGGCAGTACCAGGAAGATGAGACAAGAAAAGAAAGGCGCCGTGTCAGAAAACTGACGACATGGCCAAGACGTCGGCGATGCGGCGAGGAGATGGGATACACAATGTGGGGAACGGTGACGGAAAGCAGGCTCCGAGCCAACGCACGGTCTTAGCTTGCACAAGTGGACGACGAGAAGTGTGCAGCGTGAAGCAGCGGTATCATGGAGGAGAGGCACAGGACGGAGGAGGAGGAGAAGCCGTGTCGATGGAGGAGCAAAAGAAGAGAGATCACGAGTATCGATGCGACGGTCAGCGAGATATGAATGTGGCACGAAGCCAAGATGGGCCGCAGGACGAAGAGTGCCAGCAGCCCAAACGACGTGCAAAGGGGCTGAGAGCAGGAGAAACAACCAAAAAGCCAAAATCGGCAAAAATCACAATGCGGCTGCGTGTCTCAAAAGCCAAAAGAAAAAGGTAGTTGGGTAGATCCTAAAAGCCGGCGTGAAAGGAAGGCGACGTCGTCCGGTCCCTGCAGGCAGTGAGCTTTATCGCACCTGTCGAACCTGCCGTCAGCGAGATAGGATGGGGTCCAACCGATCGATAGGCGCTCACGAGACCTGCAGGTTGTCATCGGCGTGAAAAGGCTCTTCACGCATGTGACCACGCTATGGTGCTAGGAATTAATTAGTCAAACGCGACTTCCGCCCGAATGTCTCAGTGGGGACTGCCGCTGGTCAGGGAACTACGGTGGGGGAAGGAGGGGAGGGAAGGCGTGAAAGGGCGACGTCAGGTGGGTGGAGGCGATCACTTACAGCACGTATTGAGTAACGGAGACAGTGACTGTCTCACGTGACAATACAACAGACGGCACTGACGGCATCCATATGCGATGTATTCAGGATACGAGGTGTCTTATTAAACTGGAAAACAAAACGAGCCCTTGTTCTAGACAAGGAAGGAGGCGAAGACACTCATAGAGTATGTTGTACAGGCAGCAGCAAAGACCAGCCACCTATTCCAGCATGTGTCTTACCACGGCGAGGCTCACTCGCGAAATGGCCTTGCAGCCACCAGGGACTTATTCCCAGCTACACGAAGTCTTTAAAGCGATCACGCGGCGCAGAAAAACACGACATCCAGTCTACAGTGTCGCCTTGGCCGCACCGGAGGCCACCTCCTGCGGCCCCCCACGACTGGTTTCGACAGGTGAGCATTAAAGAAGAATCACGGTGGGGCACACTGCACTAAAGGGACCTTAAAATGCACGTGATCGAATTGGTTCTGAACATAAACAAACGTCCGTTCCTCAGACATCACAGCGTCGCGGCGTGCATCTGGGAATGAACTGGATCTGATAAGTCCACGTTCTTTCGGCATAAGAAACGCCACAGAATCGAACAAAAGCAGCCCCGCCCTGGCAGCACGCCAACCTCTTTCACGCGCGAAACTAGCAGGACCGTAGGCGTGCATGTGCATCTGCATAAAGTTGACAGCGGCGAATCACAGCAAAAAGCGGTGACCAGGGGAAGTCCATAGCACCCAACATCCCCTCTCGACGGCAGTCGTGTTGTGTGAGGATTTGTATTGTATTGCCAACGACAGTTTCGTCTGTGCTCTCGCCGTATGAAGCGCTCACGAGAGCCCGAAGAGTCGTCGCCGTCCTCACCACCATCATTAGGGCCGGACCTTGATATTGGCGACGAGACCTGCAGTGCCGCACAGTTGAGGCCTGCGCCCTACTCCCATGGTGCTGAAAGGACCTTGGACCAGCCGCGTGCCAAGATTGTCGGGCTGTCGCCAGACGGCGAAAGCGACAACGACGACAGCATCATTGCTGGCGAAGGCCGCGAGCAGGCCGGGTCGGCTGCCATGTCCTGCAGGCTGCACCGAGAACGTATGGACTTCCCGACGTACGACACATACGAGGCGCATTATGCCAAGGAGCACCTCAATCGGTGCATCGAGTGCCGCCGGAACTTTCCGTCGCCGCTGTACCTCAGGCTACACGGCGACGAGTGGCACAATCCGTTTGTCGCTGTGAAGCGAGACAAAGGGGAACATACGGTGTGTCTCCCTAGACGTATCCCTTCTTAAACCTGAAAAGCTTGGATTGTATCACTAACATACACACAGTATGCATGCTTTGTCGAAGGCTGTGAGCGCAAGTGCGGCTCGTCCGATAAGCGGCGGCGACACTTGATCGACAAACACAGCTTCCCGCACAACTTTTTCTTCTCCATTACGCAATACGGCATCGACGGCCGCCAGTCGCTGCTCGTTGATGACGGGCGCCGGCAGCACCATCATCGGCGGCAGTCGTCGACGGGCACAGTCACTAAGAAGGACGTTGTGCGGCGCAGGACGGCGAGCATCAACATGACCGGAACGGGGGCAGCTTCTCCATCGGCGGCCGCCCCAAACCCAGCCTCAGGTGGCACTGAAGACGATGACGACGATAGTGATGCCAAGGACGAGGGAAAGCCTCTGCCGAAGGGCCATGGCACTAAAGTGGCTGCAGAGCGAGACAGGCGGTCGCAAGGGGCGCCCAAGGCAATGCCCAAAGATATGCCAGATGTTGATATGGAGGATCTTACAGGCGCCATGTCTTCCATGACGTTTATCCCACGGAGTGTGAGGTTCGGCCGGGGCGGCAGGTCCGGCTTTGTGAGGCGATGATCGGCGTAGGTCTCATGGTAGATGCATAAACGAAACGACATGATTTACGATGAAAACTTTCATTGGTTGGGATATCAATTTACCATTACCATTTTATCTTTACCCGCATTCCCACGCTGTGAACTATCATACAAAGGGATTCTATCAAGCTCGAAATTAATCCGTCATAAAGAGTAAAACACCAATACTGCCGAAAGGGCCCATAAAAACACAGAGAAAATAGAAACCAAAACCAAAACGCTCATGGTAGATGCTGTCATTAGAATCGCGCTGCCCACAATCGTATTCCGACGCGCCGTGTTTTCAATCCTCTTCTTCCTGTCCCTTAGTCACTCGAAGAGCATCCTCGGCAGCCGCAACTGACGCACTGAATGTCTTGGTCCTCCTTGAGCTGCGCCTTGGGCACGCGGCAGATACATGTCGAGTTGAAGTTGGTCTCTTTTGTTTGGACGCACCGAAGGCAGCAGAGCTGGGTAGGTTAGTATGCGGCCGTGGCCCTCCCTACTTGTTTCTGGCAAGGATGTAGACTCACCTTCTCGTAACCCTGCTTCTTCCACTTGGCAATCAACATGGCATCGGCGTAGCCGTTCTTCAACAACCAGTCGTACAGCTGCTTGCTGATGGCCTCCTTCTCGTAGTACAGCTCGTAGACGTAGCGGCTGCGCTGGTGGGAAATTTGGAAAATAGGCCACTGCGCCTGGTGCTTTGGCAGGCCATCGGTCGGGGTGGACTGCGCGTCTTTCATCTTGTTGGCAAAGATCAGCAAGTCGTCCTCGATGTCGTCGAAGCCATCTGGTGGCGGCTTGCGCTTGGAGGCATGTCGAATCGCGGGCATGGCGAGCTAGGAGTGCGGAGGGAAAAGTGTATTGTTGTTTGGTCGGAGGTACGAAAGAGGCGGGAAGTCAATACGAAGGAGATTTTGTCAGGCTGCGGCGGCGTGCAAGTATTGGCGTTGCGCTGGTCAAAAGTTCGTGATGTCGTGTGGGGTTAACGAAACAAGGCTGGACCGCCACGAAAAGGAACTGTTGAAGGCAAACAGAGCAAGAGCATGTCGCCAACTTCTATTTTAGGTTAGTTCGAAAGCTGCTCCGCTTTGTCATCATTGCAACTGGCCTTGGCCAATCAGGCGGAAGACAATCCGGGGATAGTGACATTCACGTGACCGACTTAGCGGGTACGAAACGAAGAGCAAAGCGAGCCGAGAATGGACTCCAGTTACGAGACGAGAGACAAATCTACTCATGACGGGACCCCGAAGTACCTCACCTCGCCATCGACAACTGCCAACGACCGCCCGGCGACTTATTTTCTTCTCCTGGCCCTGGAGAACGATACCAAGCTGCGCCTCGTCGGCTTCTGCACGCAATTGATATCTCGGCCCCCCTCCTCGACCTTTCCCCCTCTCGAGTTTCCGAAATGGCGATTCTCCCCACAGAGTTTGCGCGCGTCTCGCGGCAATGTGCGTCTGCCACTGGTTCAATTGATGCTGTCGCTGCGGCTCTGGTTTTGGAAAAGCCTGTGAACTGACCATTATGCTCCAATGCAGCGGCGAATTGGGACGTGGCAAGGAAGAGAGTGCTTTCTGCATACAGAGAATGGCTCCGTGCTGTACGTACCCGAGAATGACGGCGATGACGAGAGTATATTTGTAGCGGACAGTATGGCGGACAATACGCTGAGACTTTTAGGCCCCCGAGATCCAGACAATGTACTCGGTGCCGCTGCCGGTGTCAGCCTTACGGACACGGATCCGGCAGGAGTTTGAGCGGCACCGGTTTGTCAACAAACTGCCGGTGGTGGATGTGCTGCTGTTCCAGAACAACGCCGACTACCAGGAGACGATGAACTTTTGGCGCCAGACGACCCATATCATGTCGTATTTCAAGGAGGAGTCGTTCAAGGAGGGCCCGAAGATCCCGTCGAGCTTTATGGAGGGCTTCTTGGAGGTAAGACAGACGATGCCGAGAGAACAGCAATTCGCTCAAAACGACAAAATGATGTGCCAGTGCTAACTGATCAGGGCCGCAACTAGAGTTGTTGCAAAGGAGGTGGCGACACGTGTGCATGAGCGAGATGTGGTTGTGAACGGGGCAGGCGACGGCCTTTGCTAAGCCTCTCTTTTCTTTTTGTAAATAACAAAAGAGGCTGGATAGACATGAGGGAATGCATCTGACGAAATTCACAAAACATTTCACCATTGTGTACAAGCAACAGTCTGCGTGTCGAAAACGACGCTCGTCCTGACAATGGAGGTTACAAAACAGAAGAGAAGAAGGAAGAGCGTCGATGATTGAAGATATAAAACGATGAAAGTAATAAATGACCGACTCCATACACAAGATAAACTCCCAAAATTTTGGTGCACCGCGCCGACCGCTGGCTGCTCCTGTTTTATAACTGCAGAGGCAGCCGGACTCGCCATCTTCCACGCACCCAATCCCTATGCCTCGGTAGCCGCCATATACTGGTTCCGCGCGTCCCAGAACTTCTCGCCAACAACGTCGCAGAGGTCCTGCAGGTCACGCAAACCCTTTTCTAAGGCCTCAATCGCCGTGCCCTCTGAGAAAGGATGTGTCAATAGCAACTCGTCAGTTGTACATGCAGCGCAGCACAGGATCTTACCATAGGTCTGGATACGGATGTTCATCTTCGCCTCAGAGGGGTGAGGAATGGCGTACGCGCAGAACTCGACGTTGGGGCTGGGAGCTTGTTAGCAAGCTGTGCTCAGTAGATAAAACAACAGGGAAACAGGGCTTTCGCGTCTTGGCCGGTGGGCTCATACTTCTTCATAATGACAAAACGCAGGGCATTGCCCATCGTATGGTTCTCCTCGAGAAACTCGAATGAAGCGGCAGTTGGTGTTGACCCCGGCAGCTGCATCTTTATTAGTATATATATTGCACGCTCATGTCTCCTTTGTCACGCATCCTGTCTTGTACTCCTCCTCCCAGTTCGTCGTCTTTCAGATCCGGTTTGACATACCAGGCGTACTCTCTGTGTCTCCTCCTCCTCGTCTTCCTCGTCGTCGCCACCGTCCTCGGCAATCTCGGCGCCCTCCTCCTCAGCAGCAACCTCGTCCTGGGCCGCGGCCGACGCATCGGCCATCTCGGCGTCCTCTGGCACCTCCTCGGCCGTCGGCTGCTTCCGTCGTGACCGTGTCGCCATTGCGTATTTGTATGGTGTGCGGGAGGTGGATGATTTACGGACAGAGAGGGATGAGGAGGTCGTAGAGTTTGCGCTGTGTCGTGATCGATTGCGAGTGCTGAGCTTTGTCGTTTTCGTCGTTTGCTGACAATCGATACGATAAACTTTTTTTTCTTTATGCAGCGGCGATAAACTTTTTTTGGGACCCGTCAATGGGCCTGACGTAGCCGACGCTAATGCGGGGGCGTTTTTGTTTAGAGATAAGATTACAGCACGGCGAGGCCCCCAGGGCGACGCCATGCGCTGTAATTTCAGGAGGCTCCAGGGCAAAAGTAGAGGTTTATGTGTGCTTTTGCTGGATTTCAGCCTCTCCACTACGTTGTACTGCAGTTGTTGCTTAAAACGGCCCAGTTCACAAGTTGACATCTTGCACATCTGCACTCCTGTGTCTGTCCATCACATCTGACCCTTCAATGCGCACCGGCAGTCCATCTGCGGCCGGGTCTGCCACCCAGACCAGGTCGCCGCGCACCGCTCGAGTGTGGGCAGTTCTCTGAATGGACGCCACCGTTAAGAGCTTCCTAAGCTTCTCGGTATCCGTTTCCTTATTTTCTTCCTTCTGTTGCTCTTGGCCGGTCGACCGGTCGCGTCGCGCGTTGCACTGAGATGGAGGGCATCTTCCATGTGCTCGACATAATATCAAGCCAGATGAAGTCCAGACGCTACAGTCGCATGCGGCTTGGTCTAAAGAGCATCGCGCTTATGCATCTGGTGGGTGCCGTTGGAACAGGTGCCCCCTTCAACAGGCATCCATCCAATAGGGAGCAAGAGCGCCGCCAGGCCAAGCGCCGAGGGTAATGTGATTGTCAGTTTCGCATCACTGGCCCACCACAATATTGGGTGACAAGAAAGAGGTGGTGGGACGACGTGGGAACATCGGGATAAAGAAGAAGAAAACATAAGGCATACAAAACGGAAGAAGGCTTTCGACCGGCACATGTCGTCCAAGTCGACGCAACTTCTTGTTACAAAAAAAAAAGATTACGGTCAAAATTGAAAACCGTTGAATGTCGTCAAAAGGCTAGGCATGTCCAAGTTGGGCGGTTCACGGCGCTTAGTTGCAGCTGCAAGGTAAGAATGACGGTCTTGGGTGTGCGAGAGGACCGTCGGCAATCATATGTCGTACGCTTCGTGTGGTGTCGAAGCTCAGACCACCATGAACGGATCTGCTGCCGGGCTTTGATGTAGCAGACGCCGCCAACGACGGAGTACGTCGTAGATGTAAAGAAGGCCGGATGCCACAGAGGACTTACACCACATTGACGAAATCGAGCTTGTTCCTGTTGGTAATATTTCGTGTCTTTGTGCTCCCACGGAGGTAATAAACGAAGGTGACCTGTAAGAAAGTATGTACATCGTAAGGCCAACGCCTTCCAATATTTTCTTCTCTTTTCATCAGTCTGCAGACAGCGCAGACTCGTGTTTGACTTTGGTGCCATGCTGTCACACCCAATATATGCAAAGGGACCATTTTCATGCGCGTTCGATGAGGTCAGGTGCACAAAACTATGTTTTTTTTATTGCCGGGGTGAGCTCGGTGTCCATGCAATACAGGACGTGCAGGCAAGACAAAGACACATTGGAGAGAAAGCCAATGCAAACAAATAACAGATATGGTCGCCTCTGGGTGTTGGCCAATACCGACCATGGGGAGACAACTTTCCAAGATGAAACACGCTGTCTGCGAAGAGTGCGTCCGGTAGTCCGGTAGCCAAGCATTCATATCTGAAGTTGCGAGGCAGTAATTTTTGGCATCCAGACGGCGCGGAATGCTCGACATTGAAAACTGCAAAACGGAGTCATCGCCAGTATTACTTCCTTTTTTTTTCTTTTCACTCTAAAAACGGGACACGTCGAATGTCAAAGGTGGTGTGATGGGATACAAACACAAGACAGGGGTGCGTCAAAGGTGGGAGGGGAAAGGGGTTCTACCACGTTTCACAATGGAAGAGGCTTGTGCAGAAAACGTCCAAGTGGCAGACAGCCAAAGAAGCTTGAGAAGAAAAAAAAAAGAGAAATAAAAATACTCCATACGGGATGGAACGGTGCAAATTTGCCTTGTCTGTGCATTGCAATGTTTTGATCTTTTCATCCGTAAGAGCATTACTACATAATTCGTTTATTTCAGTCAAAGCGCCCGTTTCGAGTCGAGTGGACTACATACGTCGTAGGAAAATGAGTTTTGTCGAGTCAACTACGGCGTCGCCCGTTAATGTCTGTATTCCGTACGAAGGATATTCACTCCGTATATATCCACACAGACTGTCGAGCACAGCGCACCACGAAAGGACGCAAACAGCCGGTAGACGGTGGCTGTGGCAGTTCATCAGATGAAAGAGTCTGCGCGGAGTCGGGAGCACACAGCGACTGAGAGACACTGCACGACGTCGCGGTCCGAAGAATGGTTATTATTAGAAAATGAACGGCCGGTCTGGAAGTTACACATTGTCTTTCCGAGGACACGCATCCAGCAATCATGGTTGTGGTTCTCCATTTGGGACTGTTTGTTAGCAGCCGGCTGAACGACGGGTCAGATATTGCTTTCCATTCTTCGGGTGATTTTATCCCTTATCCCTTTTGGTCCCTTTGTGTTTTGCTGGTTTGTTGGTTTGTTTTGTCGATGGTTGGTTTTACGGTACCTTCTCTTTATTTGCCACGCCAGTGTCACGGTGTCGTCCAGCCTAAACACCCTCCAGGCCATTGTGCAGTGCGATAAATAATATACATCGTATACCTGCTGAGGCGCAATGTGCGAAAAAGGAAAAGGTTTGATGCAAACCAACGCCATTCCGTCCTGACAATCACAATGCACCGCCATCCCGACGGTAAATATGAAGGGGACACCAACAATGAATAGCGACCATCGTCTACCGTAACGCTGAGATACAGAAACCAGAGCTTCGTCAAAAAGCAGACTTCCCTGTAGGCGATCCTAGAGGAGAAAAAAGCCAACAGACCAGGATGCACCCAGGGTTCGCGTCGATCAGCGAGATTCTGATACAAAGCGGCCACTTGGTCGAAACATTCGAGAATTGTGCAAGGGTGCGGCTCACGACTCTTGACGCCGCACGGAATATCGTTCTGCAAGATACGGAGGAGAAAACACACCGAGACACGACCTAGGGTGCGCTGGAGGAGGTGGATAAGATTACCTGCGATTGACCCTCTGTTGCATCCAAGATCCCTGGAGCGGGAGAACACAGAACGTACTTTGTAAAGGGAAGATTAAAACTAAAATAAGACAAACAAGCTCAACAACGGCGCCCATGAGTGGATCTGGAAACTGGAAGAGGGGCCTTTTCGCAGCCTGGTCGCCTCTTTATCATCGCCCCGTCTCGATAGGCCGTCTCGATGGGTCGTCTGGGGAGTTTCGGCTTTCTGGGTCTGACGTTCAATATGCTTGCACCGCCAGTCCCTTTAATTCAACAAGAGGATGTTTAGGGCCCCAGAGATGAAAAGGGTCGAGTGGGCAAAAGAGCCAGACTCGGTCGTCAGACGATGGCCGTCTCGTGGCCGTGTCCATGGCCAGGGTCCGATACGATGTGACATGGCAGACTGAGAGAGCAAGATATCCAGACGTATGAAAACGCGGGATGCATGATGGCGAACAAAAAAAAACACGGCATTGGCAAGCAACATTCAACAAAGATCACAAACTACGGTTGGCTTTGCTCAGCACTCTGCATGTTGCATCATGTACCACCGTCCAGCACCATCGCAGTGATCTTACATCCTGTTGAAGGTCGTGCTCCGTTCTCGGAGACATGTACCAAGCTCCCAAGTGTCTTGTTCGAAGAGCACGCCGAGACGACATAAACAGCCTCGTTTGATCGTATTTTGGATTTTTTTTTTTTCGTGCAGGTCTCTTTTCTCCGTGGAGTTGTTTGAACAAGAAAAAAAAGTACAAAGCGATGAGAATCATTACTCCGTAGAGAAAACGTGCAAGCTTTTGTTACAACGCCCCATAGTGTCCCAATAAAACTCCATAATATCGCTGGCACTACTGCACGGCCCAAGTACGTTCTTGGGGAACGGTGTGGTTTTATGCTTTGTGTACCCCTGGTTGAATGTCAGAAATAGGCAAGTCGCCTGACAATCTGCACGCTACTCAGTATTTTGTTACAACGTAAGTACTGCGTGCACGCAAGGCAGGGCTGTGGGCGAGAAGACCACAAAAGACAACGAATTTGCTTCTGGGTCCAAGGAGGTAGCAACAAAAGGCAACTGTTCTCCTAGTTGGTAGCTTCAGTGGATGTCAGCAGCGAAACATTAAGGATTGGGTACGGTGAGGGCTGTGTGTCCTTGCAATATCGGCACCTCACAATGGAATGGACCCTTGTCGTGGGGTGGCGCTGTCTCTTTTATGCTCTGTGCCATGAAAAGAATACCATTATGCTGTGCACACACTGCAAGGAGTTGTCTTGTGTAGAGAGGCAGGGAGACCATAAGGCGTCGTGAGACAAAAAAAGACCTCCCTTTCTTCACCTTGGTAGTTAGCAACAATCCACCACATGGCCAGCTCAGCTCAGGCCACACTCAATCTCACAACCACAGGGTCCAGGCGATTTCGACAACGCACAAAGTAGACAGCCCGGACACGACGTGCTGCGCCCATGGTCCACAAAGCCTCACCGTCGCTCCAATTAATACGACCTGTTTTTGAATCGAGAAATCCTGAGAATATCCTGGATGGGCGCGCTCCACCCTGGGCTCGTCGCTGCACATCTGTTTCGCCATCGTTCAATACCACGAAACAACGATTTCTGGAACGACGGTGGAGGTGGATGCAAGGTGTTTTTCGCTGCATGGTATAAAACGGAGACATGCTACTGTAAGATACCAAAACGGTTGAATTTTTGAGCACTGGCCTGGCACGGCTTGGCTCGCCAGGATAATGTCGTCACATTGACGCAGATGGCTGCCCACGCATTCGCATTTTGAATTACGGTGTGGCTGTGGCACCATGCAATATTGGTTTGTTCGTCGTCCCGAAATTTGTTTCCTCGGCATGCAACATTCAGATTTGTATGCGAACGAGGCAGAGAGGGGAGCTCGGGAGCTCGCTGGTTGTTGTTCTCTACATGTGTGAGATATATGTTGGATCGTGTGGCACTTTGTATTTCTGCGCCGGTTGTAGCAAGTGGGCAGCGTTTCGAGCCATGAAAAGATCTCAACACCGTTCTATCGAGTTTGCTTGAAAACCGCGTCATGAATACGGAGTAGAGTCGAGCAGACTGTCGAATGGGGTCGTGGTGAGATGTTTAGTTTGGCTGCCATTGGACACACTTTTGCACAAGAAAAAGCATGCAAAGAGCAAGGAGTGGTAGAGAGGAGTCGCAGTCGTTTTGAACCGCAAAAGTGAAGCCACAAAACCGAGTGACATAGCATCTCGGCAGGGTTGTCCAATCAAAGCCCGCCCGCATAGCGCTCTTTGGCTGCGCGTGGTTAAGGCAAAGGGGGACGTTCTTGCATTTGTTTGTGTTGTGTCGTATGTCGTAAGCTCCGTCTGTTGTTTCCTGTTCTGGTCCGTTTCTGTCCTGGTTTCCATATTCGTATGACCATGTGTACCTTCCTTCGCGAGTGTTCCTGCCGTTGCTGCTGAATTGGACGTGGTGCTGTCACCTTTTCAGGGACGCCGTAAATTTATTCTGCACAGTAAAGGAGTGTAGAACACTCGTTCCTGCTCTTTTGCCAAACAATCTGTCGTATTAATGGAAACGGAGTGCCGTTTTGCCCCTGCCTCAAAGTAAAACAACCTAACCACATACTTCGTAATAAAAAGCGGAAGAAGGCAAAGAGGTGGCCCCGTCGCGGTTTCTCTTTACGGAAGAAGGTCGCTGAAGACTACCTTTGCGAACGAGTGTCCCTCTGCCGCCCCCGGCCCCTTCCCACTCCCCAAAGTTCTCTCACACCCCCTTCTTTTCCCTCCCTGTGCCCAAATTTCCCGACTTTTTCAAGTGCCACCCCTTCCAAATCTCTATTGTCCAATCACACTGCCCTCCCCCTTGCCCACTGTAACTCGCTAGTGCACCAGGCACAGGAGGTAAAATCCGTGGTGGCATTCTCTCAGACGCCGGATTCGCAAGAACGAGACTACTCGATAACGAGCAACGATCCAAACCAGGCCAAGAGGTGCCAAACGCGACCCAAGTGGCGACTTTGGTGAGTGAAACCGCGAAACATCGTGGGCCAAACAAAGTTAACGGAGCGAGTGCGACGCCGACAAATATACGGCTAGGTTCGACGACGTCCTTCTGTTTTGAATAAACGCGGCACATACCGCAGATACCCCAAAAAGTATTACAGAGTACGGAGTGTGTGAAGAAACGGATAATTTGGCAGGCAAGAACGAGCCGCTGCCACCCATCTCTCTTCGATTGGACGCCGTCGCCCCGTCCGCCAGTCCTCTCCTTCGAGGCGCATCGGCACGAGCTGTTGTATATCGCATGTATGGAGTAGATTGAACGACGGTTGCAAACAACCAAATGCTCCTTCCCCATAATACACGCAATTCTTATTTGCTTGGCAAGCATCTCCAGGCAAGGGGAACTGAAAACGGGAAACCACGACTGCGCTCATGGCCAGAATACGGCAGGCGGAGGAGCACTACGCTGCCGTTTAGATACACTCACCCCCTTTTCTGCTCCTCCTGGCTCGCTCCTTCCCTTCAACCCCTTCCCCCCTACCCCCTACCCTACCCCTTCCCTTGACACGCTTCCTTTAGATGCACTACCACAACCACCACTGGATCCCCGAGCCAAGGTCTCACATTCGCATTTGTATCACTGTCGCTCACCCAGGTCCCCTCCCTTCATAATCGCCTTGGACCCTGCTTCGTTTTTGTCTGTTCGCACCTTCCTGCTTCCTGTGCTCTTCCTTCGCTCTTCTACCCTTTTCTTCCCCGAGACGCTTTCTTTCTCTTCTCACGATCCTCCCTTTCTTCTTCCTTTTTCCTACTCTTCTCTTTGTGTCTCTCATCGCTTTTTTTTTCCTGCGTCTTTGTCACCATCTCACAATTTGGATCTTCGCCCCGAGTCACGTTTTCGCTTCCGTCTCCTGCAGCGCATATCTGCCCTCACTGTCGTTCCTGTCCATTTGATTTCTTACTGTCCCTCGCTTCTGGCCTTCGAATCAGGTAAGCCTTCCTCGCCTCTCTCGATCGCTACTCTGTTCCTCCACCTGGCGAACGTTGCTCTTCCCCATCGTGACAAGCTTTGTCTCTTTTTGTCTCCGTGTTTCTTGCACGCCAAGTGGACGTGGTCTGCTTGCCGCCAGCGTACGCCCAGAGCGATGTGAACTGACCGCATTGCCCCCATCTAGCATCGAGGGCCCGACTTACGCACGCACAAGCACTTTTCTTTCTTTTTCCCCCCACGACCAAACCAATATAATACTCGCCGCATCATAGCGAGGATAAGAGACCGACACAGGCAAAGGGTTGCTCTTCGTATCAAATTAACGACTGCAGTTTCGTCGTTTTGGCGGTTTGGCACTTTTGCAACTTTTGCAACATAACTTTATCCTGTGCCTTCGCTTGTTATTGACCAACACCTACCAACATTCGCTCAAGTACCTAAACCGTCTAATTTCCCAACAACAACGACTGCGCTTTCAAAGTTGAATCGGCAGACAAGTTCAAAAAACGACGCCGACATCCAAGGATTTCACTCTGGATTTGCTCTCGCTTCTCAATCCGATTTTCTTGTTTTATGCAGCGTCGAAGCCGCACGAGCCCTGTGCAAGCGCTTGCAAACCCACTTTTCCAAAGCACATTCAGCATCTACGAAAGAAATACAGCCCGTGGCCTTCATTACCCGCTTTCCCGCAGCCCGTCTCATTTCAGCATTTCAGCCAACCCCCCCTTTGGTCTGTTCTTTGACTGTGTTTCAAACGAAACCGCAGAAAAAAGCAACCCTCCAAAAAGAACGGAAAACAGAAGCGACTGAACCAAAAGAAAAGTTTTTGGGACTCTTTGGTCACCGCAATCTGAACACAATCGAACAGAAGAACGCAAAAGCAGGACAAGACGAAGAAACTCATTCAGGACCCTTCGGCTTCTCTTACCTGTCTTCTCAAAATCCGGGTTGGCGGCCGCACAACTAACTACTGCACAACAAAATAAGGCGTGTCTCCACGACAAACGAGAACGGACATCCCTGAAGAGCTCAGTACGATTTCAGTGGAGCCATTTGTGCTTTTCGCGTCCGCCCCAGCTTCTCTGCAAGCGTGTAACTCGGCTCGTATTCTCTGAATCTACGTCGTCTTTTTTTGTCAGCCTTGTTCTCTCCACGATACTCTCTCACACGCTCACAATGAGTACCGCTATCGCCATGGCCCCGTCTCCGGCACCTCACGACCGAACAGCCTTCGGCAACGGCTCCTCGTCCGCAGCCAACGGCACAAACTCATCTGGAAGCACGTCTGCGTCCAACACAGAACTCTCGGCCGCTGCCGTCGCCGCTGTATCCTCGTCCCCAACAGCGCAGCGCACTTCGTCCACCGGCTCTACATCCGGCGCTCCGTTGCAGCGCATGGGCAGCCGCAGTCCTCGTGGCGCAGCACAGCCCTCGGCAAACAAGTCTTCACCTCCCAGCATGTACGTGTTTTACTCTGTTCCCTTGCCCCCTTACTCTCCTCCGTTGCCATAGAGGCAAACAAACGGGGTACGATTATATCGATCACTGACACGTTACCAATAGAACACGATCTGTTGCTCCGCCACCAAAGATCGTCGTGAAGAAAGAGCCTGGCTCCCCCGAACCAACTCCCAGACGCAGGCCAGGAAAGCTTGACCTCTCGAAAGGTGGCGCCACATCGACGACACCCGGCACCGGCCGCCCTCTCACAGCAAGGGACGGCCTGGGAATCCAGGAGGTGGGCCTCGCGTGCCTATCACCTGGATTTGTTACTCACGATCCCGCGATGAAGGAGCAACTGCAGCGTAGTATGACCGTTCGTGAGCAGCAGCGTCATATTATCGAAGCTCGGTTACAGCAGCAATCCGCCAAGGGCGACGGCACAATGGACACCTCCAACAAGGACAGCGCCAACCCATTCGCCGCAAAGACGCCCGGCATGTCCCGCCGAAACAAGGCTCCGCCAGGCCTCTCCATCGTTGCTCCCTCTCATGAGACCTTTGCCCACGAGCGTGTCATCCAATCTGCACCGCTTGGCCAGACGTTCACCGGCATGCACAACCCACACCCTCTCACTCGCCACATTACAAACCAGCCGTCGAAGCTGTCCAACACCTCCCACATCCACCACGTTCCCGCCAACCAGACAAGTAACCGCCTGCCACCCATCGCCGACGTGTTCGGCCAAGGCCTCTCCGGCCACCCTGAGTCGAGTGGCCATGCCACCTACCTTCAGCAGAGCGGCCGCGCACCTCTCACTTCGCCCAGCCACCCTCCCCCAATGTCACACCCGCCGCTGCCACCACACGCACAGCAGCGGCAACAGGAGCAGTCGCAGCAGCAGCAGCAACAGCAGCAGCCGCCACTGTCTGGTCGGCCAAGAGAATACCGCTCGGCGGAGGAGGCACAGGCTGAACTGGCAGGCGGCAGACCCGAGCTGCTGCCGAAGCTCGTGCACTATGGCGGTCACCAACCGCCCACGCCACCCTCGCCGCAGCACGCTTATGCTTCGGCCTCGACGAGACCTGCAGAAGGTGGTACACGGAGTACGAGCAGAAGGCGGACACGGGCCGAGTACGAAGACGGCGGAAGCCCGCCGCTTGGGACGGGCCGCCCCACCCAGCGCCGCGGTCCATTTGGCGAAGGCCGAGACAGCCCAGAGACCCAGCGGGCAAAACGCGACGAGTTCCTCAAACTCTGCGAGCGTGCGTGGGACCTCTTCCACTCCTAAGCGTGTGGGTTACCTCGCGACATGTTATGCATACTGTGCTTCGGAAATTTTATACCTCTTGAGCGGTTTGCCTTCCTTCGGTGATCAGCGTAGCACGCGTTCATTTTGTTTTCGGGTCTGCGCGTTTGAGGCGACACAACGGCAACTAAATCTTTCGCATTCAACTTCGTCTTATTCGCAAACTACTTTTACACTTTGGACGCCTTTTATATCCGAACACGATCTTTGGGACTTTGTTTTCTCTCAACTTTATATTCTACATCTGTCTTTTACTACCTTTTTGGCTGCTTTTTTTTCTGTTCATTTGGTTTACTGGGGACGATGGGTTCAGGATCATTTCATGTCCTTTTTTAACGTTGGGAAGTGGAAAGGGAACACTAATGTCTCGTGTATGTTTAAGTTGTGTGTGCCTTAATTGGTGGAAAACGGAGGGAAATGGCCTCTTCTGTGAATCGCTATTTGTTTTTCTCTCTCTTTGTGGTACGCTACAGTTGCTACGTGGATGAATGACTTTTTTTTTGGCAAAACGACAAACATTTTCTTATCAACAAATACTGTATTGGCTTTGTCTATCCTATCATCTCTGTGCCTTTTTCCTCAACTCTTGGCTTGTTTCGAACTGGCGAAATAATGGGTGGAAGGGCTTTTGCGTTCTTTTTCTTTTTTTCCCTTTTTGGTCCGTAAACAACTGTAGAGTGTAATTCTTTCGCACAACTGTGCTGCTCTGTACGCAAAATATAATGCATTTCAAATGCAATTAGATTCTAGTTTCAGTTTCAACATCCCACGGAACTTAAACACCCACCTGCCAATATTATAACCAGCCACTGTGACGACTTGGGATGTTTACTATCCATGATCATGGTGTACAATCTGAGCAAGCTACAGACAGTAGTACATATTCGAAGACGATGGCAAAGGCTCTAGCTTAACAGTTATAGACGGGTAACCCGGATTATTGAGGTCATTATTGAGATCATATCATTTGTATTTTGTATTGTTTCTCAAAGTGGAGGCCTCACATACAGGTCATGCTTTCCAAAATGGAGGGGATAAGTTCCCAGAAAAAAAGTTCGGCCTGCTTTAAAAACAAGCCCTTGACAGATGACAACGCATATGCAAATGCAAAAACAAAAATGTTAAAATCAAATATCTTTGTTATGAGAGTGGACACCATAACGCCGCTGCTATAATGGTACTTCGCGTAAACGTAAAACGACAGTCAAAACTGATGAAAGGAAAAAGAAAAGAATAAAAAGTGTAGTAAAGAGCAAAAACGTCCTCCGAAACCAGGCTAATAGACCACTAATACAATAGAGATCGTTAAGAAGAGGGAAAGAAGCTCATATCAGAGAAAAGGGGAGGAAAGAACGTGTTCACAACGCTCGACATGAGGCGTGAAAGGGGATGTAATGAGAGCAAGTGACAAAAAATCCGTCTCTTGGATCTTCAGAGATGGGTGTGGTCATTTTTCGTTCTTTTGACAGCATCCGGCAAGTCTCCTTGACCCTCTCTTCGACCGCCGCTCACCAGCCACCCATGACCCATGTAAGATGTGCAAAGATCGGCGTTATAAGCCTTCCTCGCCGGCCTTGCACAGTTTGATCTCGCGGCCCCACTCCGACTTCAGCACCTGCGATGCCGTGATGCGGCGGGTGGGATTGGGGTCCAGTATGGAGTAGATGACGTTACGGCACCGGGCCTATGCTGCATTAGTATTCGGCCCACTTTGACATTAAAGTTTCTGGTGTGGAGAACACTTACACGATGGAGTGACTCGATTGGGCCATAGCCCTCTTCGTCGCGGCGGCCGTCAAGGTAGCGGGCGTAGAACTCGTCGTCGTCCTTCTTTGCGAGGCGCCACAGGTGCCGGCCGGTGCGCATGGCCATGTAGATGACACCGCAGGCCCATACGTCGACAGCACGAGCATCAAACTCTTTGTTGACGTACTCTTCCGGGGAGATGTAAGGGGCAGAGCCGCACAAGCCCGACACCATGTGCGCGTCACTTTCCCACGCCATACGAAAGCATTCTCCGTTGCCGAAATCGGTAATCTTTAGACCGCCGTGTGTTGTGAGGAGCAGGTTCTCCGGCTTCAAGTCGCGGTGGGCCACGCCCATCTCGTGCATGTACTCTACACCGCGCATCATCTGCTTAAAGAAACAGTCAGCTTCCTGCACCTCGAGCTTGCCAGCGGCAAGCACCAAGGTGTACAGGTCGCCACCCGCACAGAACTCCATGACCTCGCAGTAGTCGCCCTTTGAGTCCTTGAGTAGATCGAGCGTGTGAATGACATTCGGGTGGCGCAGGCTGGACGAAATACAGAACTCGGCCGTAAGGCGCTTGCTGTACTTCTTCTCGTTTTCCTCGGGCCGGCGCTTGAACTCCTTGACAGCGTACAGCTTCTCGCCCATGCCGTCAGCCAGCTTCTTGTGCGATATACGTACGACACCAAAGGCACCGCGACCAACAATCTCTTGGCACTTTCCGTATTTTTCAATGAGAGTCGATGCGGGTTGGACAGTACCAAGCTTTTTGTCGGCGCCCGCCTTTTTGTCGGCAGCAAGTGTGTCCTTCTCCTGCTTGAGGTTGTCGACCCAGCTGGACACGAGGGATAGATCGCCCTCGGGGTGCTCAGGCTTCTTGCCAAGAATCAAGCCACGGAACATATCCACCAACTTTTCCTGGCGCCGGCTGGACTTGAGGTGGTGCTCGTGGCCGCCCTGGAAGCTCGGGTCAACGACAAAGCGCTGGTACTGACCAGGGGTGCCTGATTTCGCTGCGGGCTTCGGCGGTGTCGTCGTGGGCCCCTTTTCATGGGCGACCTTTTCATGTGCGATCTTTTCGTGAGGCATCTTTTCTGTGGTAGAACCCTTGCGAGATGGAGCTTGGGAACGCGTGACAGGTGACGCTGTACCACTGTTTGGGGTGCTCGATGCTTGTGCCGAACCGTTGGTGCTTGAGGCAGACAGGCCGGGGTTGTCTTTGGCGAGCTGCAGTAGGGCTTGTTGGTGCTGTATCGCATCAAGCGACTGTTTTGACTGGGACTGTGGAGCGGGCGACTGGGTTTGTGATGGGCGTGCGGATTCTGATGCTTGTGCTTGCAGCTGTGCGGGGAGTTGCAGAGACTGGACCGGTTGCGACGACTGTGTAGGTTGCGAGGACGGCGAGGCTTGCGTCTGCTGTGCCTGTTGTTTCCGCTGGTTGGCGGGGTTGCTTGGATCGAGGCTCACGAGCGAGCGCTGCGAGAACATGCGCGTGATACGGTCCTTCACAGATGCCTTTTCGGCGGGTTTAGCTGGTTGGAGATGGGCTTCTGATGGAGCAGCAACACCATTTGGTTGAGGAGCAAGATTCGGCGACCGGCTCGGCGGGAGTTCCACGGATTTGATAGAGGAGGAGTGCGACCGTTGCGAGGGTGTTGCGCCCTTCGTCTCGGCGGGAGTGGTAGCCATGACGTATAGAGTGGCCGGTGGATCGGAGGGAAGGTGGTAGATTGGTAGGGTATCGCGCCGCCGTTGACAGGTGAGAAATTGAAGGATGTCAGGCGGCTGTCGAAAAATGCGTGCCGAAAGAGTAGAGTTGTTCAAGGCGCCTCAATGTTGAAGGGTCAAGGCAGCCTTTCTTTTTGAGTTGTCCGAATTTTAGGAAGACGAAATGCGCTCAGTACAAAGGCGCTCGTCGAGTGGTCGTGACAAAGGATATATATGCGGTGGTTGCGACTGTGGCGTACGAGTTGCTGTCAAAGGCGGATCGCAATATTTAACTTGTGACAAAAGTAGGTAGTACTTTTGGGTTGCCGTATACGTTTACTGACACAACCCTTTTTTTGTGGGCATCTCTGCTTGGCCCGTCAATAGTATTTTGCCTCCAAATGGAAATGGCTGGTTGCGCCAGAAAAACAACAAGTGATGTGGTTCTGGATAACCCCGAATACAAAGGGCAAAGAAACAGAGAGGAAAAATAGGCCTTATCCAGCACGAGACTTTATATCGCTGGCGCACAGCGCGCGTGTTGAAGCCAGACTAGTGTGCAAGTCTTCGAGGGAGGAGGAACTCTGTGGAATAGGTCAGAGACGGTTGGATCACGGCTTGTAACGGGAATGCAAGGCCAGCCGGTAAAAAAAAAGGGGACTGGGGGCACGGTTAGAGAGCAGGAGGCAAAAAGGAACGGGAAACGAGGATTGGCAGGCGCAGGAGGGGTAGAGGCGTGATAATTTTGGTAGGATAGGTTTTGGTGGTTGTAAAGGGCACAGTTGGGGGAGTTGAGCGTTGGGAGTAGCGCGAGGGGGGGCGAAATTTAGTATTTGTTAGAGGCCAATGACCTGAAGAAGTGGCGGTTGTTGGCGGCCGATGACAGTCATGGTGGACGAAATGTAGGCCGACGAAAAGAGGCAGAGAAATGATTATTGGCTGTAGCCGGTAATGGTGATGCGATTGAAGGGAATTGAATAAGCTAGCGGACAGAGGATGTATGGAAATGAGAAGCAAAAAGGGCTCGTGTACGTGCGATATATGGAAATGATGAGAGAAAGAGTGACAAAAGTCAAAAGGAGCAAATGCAGCAGAGGGACACGGTGGGTGCAAATTGATTATGAATAAGGCTTGGCGAAAGGGCACTGCTGCTTTATATGTAAAAAGGCCGTAAAGCTTGGAAGAGCAGGCTGACAAAGACGACCGGCTGCGGGCTGTGCAAGGTTACAGACAGTGGACAGGCGGAAAAGGTGGTGAAAGAAAAGCGGCGAACGCGATGTCAACGACGGAAGAAAGCGTCGAAATAAGAACCACCATCTTCTAGCAATGTCGAAACAGTGCCAGTTGGTTCGATAGTCGTTGTCGGCTCAAAACGGAAGCGAGGCAGGGTAGAGGGGAGCGTGTGTTTTGTATATCGGACAGCGAAGAAAAAGAAGAACAAGTGGACAACGGAAAACAAAGTCGGGGAGGGAAAAGGAGGTTGAGAGAAATGGAGAGGAAATGGAATTGGGGTATGGATTGGGCAA